CTCTGAACCGTTTGAAAACAGCTCGTTTGTAGTCCAGCCCTTCACTTCCTGTACTTGTAACGTCACAATGAAAACGCTTGCCAAGCGGCTAGGGGGTCAGGCACGCCCTCAAACCAAGCTAGCGGAGGCCCGTTGGCTCGACTTGCCTTTGTTTGGTTTTCCATTGTAGAAATGTTGTACCTGCTTCCAGGTACTTTTTTTCGTATTACCTCACCTCCGTCGAGGTTCCAAGCGAGCTGAGGGATACTAAAATGTAACGTGAAAACACGTCAGACTGCTGATTGGTCAGAGAGAATCGTCACTATTCACTGCATCATCATTGCTTAGCCCCAGACAGAGGCCAGCAACAGACAGTTTTATATTTTACAGTTTTCGTATGGAATTTCATCACTAAATCCACTTCTGAGAGAAGTTTTGTGGTGAGAAATCAGCTGTGTAGATTTCGAATATTGACAGTTTTACGAGAAATGATGGCGAAACAAAATGTGCTTGAATATTTTCGGAGTTCCGCAAGTGGCTGCGGGGGAAGCCTGTGCCAACCCACGGGAGGAGCGTGTGAGGCCGGCCAGCTGCCCACTCACAGAGCCCTCTGCTACCACCGTCACACAGACCGCTGCAGCAACAACGGCAGAGGAAAACACAGCTGGAAGGTTTTCATACCGCTTATCTGTCTTTACATTCTGAGGAATGTTGAAACGTTTTAACTTAAAAAAGAGAAAGCTGTGTGGATCGCTGGTGTGTGTGTGTCGCATTGAACATCACCTCGTGGCAGTAGCACAAGCTACGTACTATCTCTGGGTACTACCTGCAATGGAAAACGGAGCAGGGCCGAGTAGAGTCGAGTCTATCGATTTGCGCTATGGTAGCATTTTTCGGCAAGGCAGCATAGATCGTCAGAACACTGGCAACAGTTCAACATTTAGTCCTAAAAGACGATGCAACTCCGACTCTGTTTGGGCCTGGAAATTCACAATCACAACCTGTAAGTATGCTTTATTGGTTGTGAATTATATTTAAAATAAACACAGCAATGTAACTTCACAGACTCTTCAAGTGCGGAGTTGTTGTAAACGTTGGCTAACACAGCTATAGCAATGGAAATATAGTTATAGCTATAATAATGATAATAATAATAATAATAATAATAATAATAATGTTACACCCGATATGAAAGCTACTGAGCAAACGTTCAAATTGTTTGGCCAATTTTTATGTAAAATTTAGTTGAAATATGGTGATTTTTGTAGTGGTTTCTGGTAAGATGTGGAACAATGATGTTGTGTGGTTGTGAGTAACTTATACCATCTGCTAGGTTACGGTCGCAGTCTGAAGTGGCTTTGATTTGGATCACACTACCTCGTTTCTTACGACCCGCGCTTCTCTGCTTCTGATTGGCTAGTAGTCCTTACCAGGGAACTACGCATGTGCAACTCCCAACAAAGATTTTGTTCAAGATGCAGTACTATAGCTCAAGAGCAGAGCGTACAACACACAGGGTGAAAAGAGGAGCTGCAGCAATGTGCAGTATGAGAAAAATATGGTGTTTTTTGAAAATTAAACCATGTAAACCTGTTCTGGTACAACCCCTAATTAAGATTTTGAACCTGAAAATGAGCATAATACCACCTCTTTAACAAACCCCTCTGTAGAATTAATCTGATCAACTTCAAATTTTTGCTGTGCAATCTAAAGACATGAAAAGTTGTGCTATCTGTGAGTTTTTGTCGATGAGCATGTCCGTGTCATGGCATCGAAAATCGATGATTCGCCATAAAACAGGTGTTGTTATAACTTCAGTGTACATGCTCACATCTGTAGCTAAATTTACATGTATGATAACAGTCCCGCCCTGAACACATCCATATGCCAACATTCACTCCAATGCCGCTTGCAGCTTTATTATGTTTGATGCTGAATGAGTGAATTTCAGTTGAATGGCTTACCACAGTAATGCATGCAGATATGCAATTTGGTTCCTGAGCAGCTCAATATTACAGAAAATATTTCGACTTCACTTTTTATAAGACATTCTAAATTAGTACTGATTTATTGTGACTTATTAATATTGAATATTAAAGTCTCACAGCAACATTTAGTCCAGAAAGACAACTACTGTCATTTGTATTTGAGTTGATAACTCAAATTAGCAAATTAGCAAAATTTTGTTCCTGCAAACACAATACTATTTAATTGTTAAATTAATTCTTTATAATCAATTCAGAGTATTAGAAGTATAATACTGTAACACAAAAATTCACTCTCTGACACAAAAGGTAATTAGTTTATTAAAACTTTCCTTTCTAGTCTTACATTAAGTTCTCAGATGTTTTTCAATGCTGTTAGCTGTAATTCAGTACAAATCCCATGCTCAGTTAGTAGGAATTATTACGAGAGAATATAAAAATGTTTTGTAACACGTTATAACATGTCTTAAATGTAACTCACCACAGTAAGGTTGTTATTCATGGGTTGGAAGGTGCAGCAGAGCAACTCGCTGGATTCTGGATCTCTGACCTCTCGGATGCACCGACCATCCTCCGTGTTCCAGATACGCAGAGTCCCATCTAGTGATGTCGACACAATGATGTCATTGCTCAGAGACCAAGCAAAATCTGTGACAGGACCTCCGTGACCTTTCAGGGTCACCTTAACACTGGGAGGAGACGGAGACAGTGTCATGATGGACAGGGTGCCATCCAGTGAGCAGCAAGCAAGGAGGTGCTTGTCATCATTGGCAAACTGCAACCGCGGAACTAAAAGAAGAAGAAGAAGACGACGAAGAAATAAATGTTGAAACTTAATGTATAGAAATGGATGATGATGAATAAAAAACATTTCCTTACCAGCAGAGTCTACATGTTGGTCAAATATGTGGTGCATGCCAGCAAAAGCATAATTTTCACTCAAAGTTGTGTCCCCTGCCATGGCACGACTGGCCTCTGCCACTGAGGTGGGCACCAAACTGCCCGGAGGCCTGTGGCCAGAAGTAAAAAACACCACGTAGGCATATAATCAATAAAACACACCCCACAACCCTTGCCTACAGCTGACAACTGACCATTAAAGAGATCTGACCATTACTCAGTGCAACCAAACCAGAATTGAAGCCAGTAAATCCAACAAAAAGTAATGGCTCAAAGGGAGAAATAAATCAAAGTGAATTAAATTGCTCAAGCAGAGAGACAAGATGATGGAGGCAAATTGAGGATCTCTGTGTGGCATTCTTCTGATTACCTCTCATCATAGACTGCTCTGTTCATCTGGGCCTGTAGCTGGTAGGAGCCTCTGCTGACGGACCGGCGGTGACCACGTGCCCCTTGGGCGCGGGGGTCCTCCTCAAAGTCCTGCCCAAGAGGAGAGGAGAGGAAAGGAAAGGGAGGGGAGGGGGAGACAGAACCTCGTAGGAGTGAGTGTAAATAAGAAGAAGCTTGTGAACATAAATAATCATATAATAACAATCAATATTTATTGAAAACTTATTGAAATTACCATGCATTTTTAAGTGAATGACACTGCCCATATACATGGGCAATTCCAGCCATTTCAACCAAGCTGCTCAGCTAATATGCATCGGCAGCCAAAGTGTTGTTTGGCTATGCTGCTGATTGATGACAACTAAGGTCTAGCTATCCAGATGGCTCTCATATGTTGAATCCTATATTTTCATTCCAACTCTCCATATATTTATATCTCCTTTTCCAAATTCGTAAACAACCCCACCCCCTCCCGTTCTTTCACTTCTACCTTCCCTGCCCTTTCTGTTTCTTTGGGTCTGACCTCCATGCGGTCCAGTGTGGTGCGGGAGCTGCGCACACTGCTCGCCCTGAAGCTGCTCTGCTCAGACAGGGGCCCGTAGCGCAGGGCCAGCAGCTGACTGCGCAGCTTCAGGTACTGCCTGCGCAGCCCTGGCTCAAAGCCACACTTGGCGTTCTCTCTGAGCAGCTGGCTGCGTCGGCGGATGTACTGAGTTCGGAACTGTGGGAACGTAGGCGTGCGGTAAGCATTGTACCTGGGGACACAGCACACACAATACTTAATAAGTGGTCCATAAGCAATTACACGTCTGAATAGCTTCTTCATCAGTTAAGACAATTAAAGTATGCTGCATGATTGAGTCTCACCTTGCGTCCACTGCCAAAACCTGCTGCCAAACTGCTGCCATTCCACAAGCACTCTGGATAGAGAGGAATCCACTGCCAGGGCAGATTACTGTCAAAATAAAAAACACCACTTCATATGTTTTTGCTACTTTCATTAATAAACATTACAAGTATGCATTGTATGAGAATGTAGCTTAGCTAACATAGATGTTACATTCATTGAACTGAAATACCACCCCCACCTCCCATCCACAACGTTGAATCAAGTGATGATACAGAATCTAATGGCACCACAGGAAGAATACCTTGCTATTGAGCTATGCGAGTTTGACACCAGGAAATAATTGTTGAAGTGACCTGAAATAGTCAAATGGGGCTAAAGAATGAACGGGTGGGCCAGTATTTGCCTGCGTATAGCAAGCAGCACCAAGAAAAGGCAAGCCTTCCTGACAGATAACGTCGCAAAGCTAACTAACGTTAGCTAGCAATTAGCAAGTTAGCCACAACATCATATGCGATGTCCTCGCATAAACATCTATTTTCCATCCTTTCTTCAATATACATAGATAGTCGGCCAATTAGCAATTTTACACGGAGTATTAGCCACTGTATTATAATAATACAACAAAGAAACACAGATAAATACGTATGAAAACGGCTCACCTTCCTTAGCTTTTCTCCATCGCTGCCTTTTCTGTCACGTGTCACATGACACGGTGTAACCAGCCCACTTTCTGATGTGGAACTACATGAATCCGGATGATATTTCTTAGTATTTACATGGTTTATTGTTTGATCAAATAACAATTTGACTGGATACATAAATGCAACAGGCCACGGCCTAAAACAGACACTACTTTATTTACAACATCGTGGTTTAATAGGACAGAAATTACATTTCACAAATTTTACAACATTCCATTTACCGTCCTCCAACCCCACCTACACACATGCACAAAGTCATTTGCATAGTAGGAGTGGTGCCTTTAGGGACCACAGCGGTTCTCAAGGGGCAAAATAATCAATAGGTTAATATTAGCAATATTTTAGCCTAGAAGTCCACACAATGAAGAATGCAAAGGTTGGCAAATCTGAGCCCCACTTAATGATCCCTGCTATTATCCTCCACTCAGTGCTGACAATTCTGATTGCTAATTTAGTGTAGTCATATGTAACAACAACGTCTTCTCATAATTATCCTTTTTTTTTCTCTTAAAAAGGTCCTGAAAATCTAGTCTCTCTATTAGCTTCTTACCCAGTCTTGATGAAGCAGATTAGCTGAATGTTTGACTGTTACACTCTTAAAAAGTAATACCTTCTAACAACAAAATCTTCTCATTTTGTTTTTTCAGGACAAAATCCTAATCCTTTATCCACGTTCTAATATGGCTGATCAACATGACAGAAAGTTTTCCCTGACTTAGTAGACAATTTACAAAAGCAAACACTATCACATCACTGGTAACATGATGAAAACGCTTTCTTGTCATGGACAATAGGTGAACACACAGTTCCAGTGGCTTCACAATGGCAGTATTACAAGGTCAGCTCTGAGGTTTCGCCTGGCTCAGCAAAGACCTGCAGAGCTGTGGGGCATGCTGCTCAGCTGACAGGGCTCTTTGCTTGTTCATGGTGCTCTTTCTCGAAGGGGCCCCAGTGACAGAGCCATTCACAAGCACGGGCCATAAATGACCGAGTTCAACACCACATTAAGCACTGCATTCTCAAAATCAGTAGGCTACTGACTCTGGAGCACAGCCAAAATGCCAGGAACAAAAGGTAAGCAATGTGAAACAAAAATGTATGTCTACAAAATAGTTTTGTTTCATTTATCTGGATAACAGAAGAGCTACATGTTCAATGACATAAAGATTAGATGACTAATTTTGATAGAGAGTAACTGAGTGTGTCCACTATTTTCAGGTAATAAGTCGGACAAGAAGTCAGCTACCAAGGTAATAAAACCGTTACTACACTACTTCAAAATCCAGATTTTCTTCTCAATATGTACATTTTTGTTAATTTATTTATGTTGGCTTTAATTTCACAGCAACCTCAGAGTCCTAAAGAGCAGCCGAAGAAAGGTGATCAGAAAGGAGACGATAACAAGAAGCAAGGAGGTAAACATTTATATAAAACCTACATTTTTTTTATTTTAACCCAGTGAATAAAATCTGTGCAGACTACATGATTTCCAAGTTGAGAAAGAAACATTTTTGTTGTCAAGATTGTTAAAAGCCTTCAGTGGTTTGAGATATATTCGCTATGTCTGGCACACAGTGTGGAAATGAGGTGCTGTGATTGCTGTGTCCCCAGTGAAGGTATCTGTCTGTGTTTCATCCCCTCGCAGGACAGCCGAAGGGAGAGAAGCAATAACTTCCAGGCATTTGTGAAGATGGCTTTGGAGACACTGCTGGGGTCCTGCCGTCGTAAAAATGGCAGCCCCCGGAGCAAGCAGGGCTGAGTGCGCCACACTTTTCCCGTGAGCCTGCAGACTGGGCTGTTGTGCGGTCTTTCAATACAGCATCTGCTCACCTCTCACAGAGGTAGAAAGTGAACCTGATCTCCATCCATCACCATCTGTTGTTCAACCTCTGTTCCTCCCCCTTCTGTCCCCTTCCCCACGCTATCTTCTGGCTTATTGGATGCTCAGAAACAGACTCCAGGTTAAACCGGACAATTGCTCTGACTCACCCTCATACCATGATTGACTATCAGTTCATACATCCTTCTTGTAAATAATAATTCAAATAAACAAGCATTTCTTACATCAGTCCATGTGTATCTTACTTCTATTTATACCTTATATCCTGACATTTCACATCTTCTCAGAATTTTTTCCACATTGAATTAAACAAAAACGGCGATCCAGGTTTCATGTAAAATTTTATAAAAATATCACAGGTGTGTCAGTGCCTTCACATTTACAGGGAGAAAAGTTGGCATAACGTAAATATCAGAATACTATTTAAAATACTCTTACACTTGTTGGATTGAGTGGCACTAAGTCGGCAGAGACTGAGCACTCTCAGGCATGAACAAACATTCAGGCTTTAATCTAAAACACTACATCCTAGTCAAGAAGCAAATCCCTTGATTCTAGATTTAAGAAAGCTATAGACAAAATGTGACCACAACCTCATACAGATGCTCATTTGATTCTTTCTACAATTACATAAATGCATCATTAAAAGCAGCAGTGTAATAAAAATATGTTCTTAAGGATAAATATTTAATATAGTTTACTGTATCATTTCATCTAATAATAAATTGGCAGAGAAGTTTAAACGTTTTTCCCCACTAACACATGTGGAATACCCTGATTCTAAACTTTTATTTTCAATACTGAAGAGTGTTTCAAATGTTCACAAATACTAATTGGACCTTTTCTAGACAAAAGGTAACGAGTTTAATTTAAAGGAAATTATTATAATAACACAAAACAAAATACAAACACCATTAGGAAAATTCACCACAAAAAATAATTTACAGACTTACGGGTTCATTTTCTTCTATCTAAAATTCACAAAAGATTGGCGACATTATAATTGCTGCCTTGTAACCATTAACCTGTGCTTTTTTCATTCAAAAGTAAACCATTTGTTGTCTTACACATGCTCAGGATTAGCCTGGCGATATTCAATACTTTTCTTATTGCCAACAAAAGACCAAAAGCAACAATGAATTAATTCAACTAATAAGTGTTGCACTTCATGACATGTTTCATCACAATGTACGTAGGCACTGTAGTTTATTTTGAGTCAGACCCACATACACCGTCCTGCTGCTATATGTACACTCACAAGAGCATGAGTACTCTTTTTTGAGAAACGTTTGTTAAAAACTACAGTGCCTAGCTGTTTCAGTAAATTATTCAGATGTAAGCATATATAATGGATTTGGGGCTGAGAACCACAAGACAGGAAGTCAGAGAGCATTGAGGGACAGACTAACGCATTGTTGGTTTTGGTCTTTTCATGGGATTTGTTGAAAATAATACAACCACATAGAATATCAGCAGCCTTATCCTTCAAACATAAAAATAAGATTGTAAAACACTTGAGGTGTGGTGAAACCTCATCAGGAGTGCATCTGCTGCAGTCGACGATGAAACCTAGATAACGGGCTCTATCGTGTGTCCGCAGAAAGGAGCAGCAGATCTCCACCATGCTGATAGATATTGATTCTGACTCACAGTAAGACATCGGTAACTGCTGTCACAACATGTGGGCTTGACAACTTCGGCTCAGATGAAAAGGATGTGATATGGGGAAAGGGAGGGAGGAGCGGGCTATCATTTCATGGATATCAAAACTAGTCCCCAGCAGGTTAGAATAATAGATTACCCAGCCAACATGCGGCGCAACCTGAGCACTGCGTGTTGGTTTATTGTTGTATACATGTTGATTCAGTTCTCTTCGGTCTGATGCAGAATAAAGTCACAGTGCAGGAGTGGAGAACCAGCCTTACAAATCTCATTATTGCTTCCTTCACTTTCTCTATTTCTCTGTCTCTTATCATTAGAGAATGAGTCGGTACAGTATCCAGCATCCAAATGTGACCCAGTGGCTTGTCCAGCTCAGCTCTGACCACTTCTGAATGGTATGATGGGTTATATCGTCCTGTAGGGGGCAATACATACTATGTAAGCCCGACGGTCATAAAAACATTTACACAGAAAATAGGATTCAACATTTGTTTGTTCTTATTTTCTGAACAGATTTAGAACTATACAAAAAATAATTATATGACACTACAACTCTGTCCTTTGAACTCCAATACCGCCGGTTAAGGTTGCATTTCACATGTCTGTGTATCACATAGTGCGCACTGTACATTTTATTAGTACAGGGTGTATTTTTATGTTTGTCTATTCTGTACACATGACATTTATTGCATATTTGTACATCCTGGAAGAGATGTCCCCCCCCCCCATTAATACATAAATAAAATGAATTTGACTTGTATAAATGTAGTTGCCTATACTCTTCTAAACATGTTGTGACCTCACCTCATCCTCCTCCATATAGTCCACACTGGAGTTGAACACAGAGCCCAGGTACGTCAGGTGGAGTATTGCCAATGCGCTGAATGCTATGTTAATCATATACACCCATAGCTCCTGCAGAGAGAGTGAGACAAGCATTGGGCACCATTTTATCATTGTCGAAATTGTGATGGGAATGGACAGCAGTATGTTGCAGGCTGCTTTTTCTTGGCATAAATCATTATTCCCCTTCCCCGCTGCTCTTGATGTGTGTAACCAATATAACATAAGGGATTTTTTTCTGGGCACCTTGCCAGTAAACTCCCAAAATATATCAACTGACAGCGCAAGGCAGACCTATGGGGCTGCTGTATTTGAACTTCTGCAATTGTTTTTTTTTTCTGGCATTAAAACCTGATGTCCACACTGCTTTATATTAGGTATATCTTTTTAATGATTAGACTATTTCTTGTGTTTTCTAATATGAATATGTCACTTTGCCTGCTGAGGAAGTTTATTGCTTTTCTTATGATAGGCTAAATCAAAGGGGGAAAATATAAGGTGTTTAGCTTTCATATTTTGAAATATATGCAGAGTAAAAATACACATTTTTTTCTGAATGTTAATTAGGCCAGAAGAGTTACTAGGTAGGCACCCTTTGAGCACCTCCTGCTCTGAACGAATGTGCCAGCAATGCCAGTGCATTGGCCATTTGCACACATAAAAAAGTTGGAAGAAAACCAGAATATGTACAAAAAAATGTACAAAACACCACAGGCCTGTGGTCAGAATAGAGATTCCTATTTGTGCAGTGTGTTCAACATTTATTTAAAAAAAAAGAAAGACAAAAACTGTGATTAACTATAACTAAAGAGAAATAAAAGAAAACACCTAAAAAATAGGAGATGGAGATGCATTAACTTTTTTTTTTAAAAGGACTAGTTTGACATTTTGGTAAATAAATTCTTGCTGAAAGCTAGTTGAGAATATCGATTCAACTCTCATGTCTGTACTCTAAATATAAAGAGATAAAACCATTACAGCTAGCTTTTTCCTCCGCCTTCCAGTCTTTATGCTAAGCTAAACTAATTGTTTCCTGGCTCTAGCTTTATACTGTATTTAGTATGTATATTGAGCATACATATTTAACATACGTATTTAGTGTACCCTTATCCTGCGTACAGGGTCACGGGGGGCTGGAGGCGGGGTACAACCTGGAAAGGTCATCAGTCCATTGTTGTCCTGGCAGGGCCAGGACAAACAACCACTCATATCCACACCTAAGGACAATTAACTTAACCTGCATGTCTTTGGATGGTGGGAGGAAGCCGGTGCACCCTGAGAGAACCCACGCGGACACGGGGAGAACATGCAAACACACACAGAAAGGCCGGGGCAACCGGGGTTGAAGCCACGACATTCTTGCTGTGAGGCGACAGTGCTAACCACTACACCACCGTGCCGCTTATTTAGTGTACATATAGCATACATATTCAGAGACATGCGAGTACTGATCTAACTAACTTTCTGCAAATAAGCACATTTACTATTTCTTTAACATTCACACAAACCTAAAGAGCCCGCTGACAGGAGGGAGAAGTAAGAGAAAGGTTCATATTACCTTTTTGTTCCGGTGAGCACAGTTTGGCTGACATTTCTTTGACAGCACGCAGGCATTACAAATTGCTGCAAGCCTCTTCCGCAACACTGAAATACAAAACAAGACCAAAGTATAAAGAAGGAGCCAGAGGAAGAGTTCCTTTTCAACCATAAGAGGTAAATTACAAGCACTGCAGTGAACAGAAACAGTGTATATTAGCGGGTGCAATTAACCATTACTGCAAAGCTAAGCACCTTGTCTAAATGGAAAGGTTCTAATGTGGAAAAGAGATAACATTAGGCAGACTCTCACCATGCTCAATGTATGTGATGAACCCAAGAGATATTAGTACTGCACCCAGATGAAAACTCAAACCCTACCAGACACAAGAGTTAGAATCAGAACAGTCCACTAGTTGAAACAGACACACAGCAGTACAGAGTAGGCACACTTGCTTATGTAAGATTTCCACATAGTACTCACATGCAGAAGGGTGCTGGCTGTATATGTCACCATGATAGCGGAGAACGTCCCAAATTTCAGAGCACTTTTAAAAACATCTGTGAGATGAGAGCATCAGCTTGCCTGAGAGTGTCTGTTTAAATGAGCCATTATTGTGTTGTACATAATGAGAACGAAAAGCAAAAACAGCTGCTGCCATCAAGCAATCACTGTTAACATTGTAACTCACAGGTGTGCAGAAAGCAAGACATGGGCAGATTCCATGACGTTACCACCTCCACCATCGAGCGGGGAAACTCTATATTCAGTGGCTTGGATACAGTCATATCCCTACAAAACAAAAGGTGGGTAGGGGGGCTTGTTAAAAAAATGTAAATAAAAAGAAACAAGCTTTATGTTATACTGCCATTATACTGACCATTTGAGGTTTTCCTTCTCCTCTGTGAAGCCTGCCCCAGCCAGAGTAGCAGTAGTCTCGCTCAAATAACCAACAAAATAATTGCTGAAGTGGAAAGACATTGTGTTCTCATACGCCAGTAACCACCTAATGCAGTGACATCAAAAGAAGAAGCAGACGAATATTACATTCCAATTTCAAGTTAAATCGAACTCGATTGAATGAATGAATAAATTATTAAAAGACGTACTTTGCCGGCGTACCTCTGAGAAGCAACGCGGTAAAGAGAGAATGTGTAGCAGTTAATGTTAATCATACATTAATTTCTTATAGATGTGTTATTGACTCATCATGTGATGATTTATCTCTCACCACATTTTATAAGATTGTAAAACAGGAAATGAGAGTAAACATGTGGCTGCACGGGGGTGGTGGTGGGGGTTTGCGTGCAGGTAAAGGTGTTGCACAAATGGTAAACAGAAAAATAAGCATGCATTAAAGAATACAATATATATGGAGGGCATGCCTACAATGTTGAGGGTGTTCACTGAGGTGGATATTTAATTACCTGATCTTCCTCCTCTTCTTGCTGTAAGCAAAGCAAGTAATAAAAAAAGAAGATGAGCTCAAAGCAATCATAAATTTGTTTACGAGTATCTCAATGTTCCGCTCACCTGCGTAGTAGCTTGTCTCCATAGACTGGTATGAAATAAGGGAAGAGGTAGGGCGCCACACAGTTGGAAATAACAAGGCACACCTGGCTCTTCACCCAGCTAACAGACACTTTTAAAAACCATGAAAAGCTCTGAGAAGAAGAAAGAACCAAAGATTTGAACAGTTAGCGGCTAAATCTTTTAAATAATCCTAACCCCCACCTTCTTCCATCCTTATTAAGAAATACTGTCTCATACTTACCAGCTTACGTCCTTCTAAAGCTTCTTTGTAGCTGTTGAAGCTGATCCAGGGACCAAAGATGACTGTGCCCACAAAGTAAATATAGCCCATGAACTCAATGGGTGAGGGTACACTGGTCACAACACCTCTGTCCAAATCGAAGGCCAGAGAGATGGCTTTCATGGCAACCACCATCTGTGAACCTGGACAACAGCAGCAGTGCTTAAATAGTCACTAGATTTCAACATAAGAGCATCATCAATGCTGAATATAAAGGTAAACCTAGATCAATCACATGTATTGCTTTTATCTATCTCAAATGTGTCAAATGTTGCTGCCTACAGAAAAGATCCATGGCCTATACCTCTCATCTTGTGCCAGTTGGTGGTGTCCATCATGTGCAGCTCTCTGATAAAATTGGATAATAATAGCTTCAGTTGTGATGTCGTTCTCATCGCAAATTCAACTTCACTGCAACGCTGACTTTGAAAAGTGTTCACTTCAAACACATGACGTGATGTGTGCTGCTGAGCTGTTAGGTATCAGAGGAGGACTCTCTTACCCCAGCAGCAGGTAGATGAGCACAGTGATGGAGAGGAAGGTGCCACGGATGGTAGAGTGTCGGCACAGGAAGAGGAAGAGGTAGCAGAGAAGGCTGAGGAGGACAACCCAGATCATATGAAGCTCAAAGAACAGGTAGAGACAGTAGAAACCTCCTGCTACTGTGCCCAGGTGTTTGACAAAAGAGGGGAGGCCTGACATAGCAAGAAAAAGAAATAAAGTATAGTAAAGGTTATTATGATGATGCAAGCTAAATTAAAGGTGAATAACACTGAGTGGGCACAAAATAACAAGACTCTCACCCAACATCCAGAGAAGCCGACACAGCAGGCAGATAACCAGCAGCTGCCATACCTGCTCCAGGCCCTGCTGAGCTGTAGGCAGCAGGCAGCCATGTGCAAGCTCCTGGAAAAACTTCTGGCGGCTGAACGCTCCCATCACTAGACTTTAAAAAGCAGAGGGAAGCCAAATACTGCATTTTTACAGCAACAAAAAAATGGTGTCTGTCTCACCAGAGTCAGCATATAGGACTACATCTATGGCTATAATGCATAGGTACAGCATACTGTATGTGTACTGCACTTTGGCACACATGAGTGAACTTGCAAGCACAGACTGCTCACTTAATCCCTCACTCACAGTCAGCAGACATACAGCAGCTGAAACTTCAAATCCCAGCATGCACAGCACCTCACTACAAATCAGTGCAAATCATTGCAATAGATGACAAGAGTTTTAGGGATGACACTGGGATATTTTTATGCTAATCTAAATATATAATTATTCACATTTTATCAGATATTAACAGATATCAAACCGGATCTATGGGAATAATGATGTGTCAGAATGAAATCTCAGGATGTGAGAAAGCACAAATAAAAGAGTCTTCGCTTTTGGCGTACTGGAGACTTATTAACAGGGCTGTATGAAGATTAGTAGACATGCTTTTCTACAGGGCATGCTCCCTCCGCAATGCAGTCGACCAAGGGGATGAGTTGACTCATAGATGTCTTCCTACAACCGCTGCACTAACAGCACAGTATACGTTCAGAGCAAAGCATCTTAGAGCTATGCGGGTAAAACAGGTAGACATTGCTAACCCAGTTTCACATAGCCAGCTGGATTTAGTTTTGTCACCAACGTACTTGAGAGCCGTTCCCCAGCCCCCCACGTCGGAAACAGCTAACTGGACGCCCCGGGCATGTCCGTTTGTTTTCCAGTGTAAAACTTACCCTTTCAGAGCAGCAGCTGGAGGTTCCTCCCCGCGGTTCTACCCAGCTGCTTTTCTTTTCCCTTTACAGTGAATTACGCGCGTGTGTGCTGCTGCTGTGTTTTAAGCACACTCGGTCCAGATGCCGCTTATCTGGATGACTCCCATTGTCACAGCATCAGCACCACCCGCCTGTCATCTATGCAGCCAGGCTGAAAACTCTCACGTCAGCCAATCGTGCCTCTCGTTGGCCTAAAGTGACAGGCAAAGCGGCCAATCAGAATAATCGCCCACCATTACCGGTGCGTTCTGACCAATAGGATGTGTACAGCGTGCAGATGGAATCAGACGGGAGACAAACTCTCATCTGGCTCGTAGATGTGGTCCAAGAGGTTTACGGAGGGATGAACTGTAGGGTAACAGTAGACAAAAGCAAATTGTGTTCCTTAGCAACGTGGCTCTCTGTGTTTAGTGGGCTTTCTTAAGTGGAAACAAATGGCTTCTTTATTGTTAAAAAAAAACATTATTAAAACAACATTAAACCATTTGTAAGAACGCTTGGGTTGCCAGGTTGGCTGTTGTTTCACCTCATTCATTTAGGTTAATGGATCTTACTTTTAAATAATTCATCAATTGTGTGGTTGGAAATGTTTACAAGTCGCTGATAAAGGGTCATGAGTTTCACACTTTGTAATAAACCAGTTCTGCAATTATGTTTGTATTTCATTAACAGTGTAAAGGGACAAACCATCAAGTCTTTACTTGTAAATGTTGATAAATTGTTTTGGTTCAGATACATTAGTATATTATTAACCATTAATAAAGGTTAGTCACAACTAATGAGCTTATAAGGGGTACTTTATTTGAAAGTGGTACTATAGCTTAAAAAAAGCACTAAGAAAACATTTCTTTACTTTACTCTAAAATAATCATTTATTCTATGCAGCCAAATAAACATTTTACTAAACAGATTGGTTGCAAGAAAGTTGTACCGTCTTATTGTTATACTTCTACACCATGCTGTAGTAGTTGTAGGAAAACTCTTTGGCAATCACAAGCAGATATAGTGACAGAACCCCCAACAAATAAAGGTGTGAAGGCATCTTATTGTTATGGTACTGTGGGCTTTTTTCTGCAATAGGATTGTATCGCAGCTCACAGAACAAGCTGGCAATTTTAATGCAATATGACACCGATAAGAGGTCAGTCCAAGACAAGCAGGCAGACAGTTTTGGGTCAATTTAACAATCCCTCTAGTGCCACCATCAGGACATATCTGAAGACCCTTTTTGGTCGCAACTCCTCAACCCCCACCAAAATATTTAGGTAAAAAAAAAAAAAAAATCCAGGAATTAAAAGTAGTGTCATTTTATTTCTGCATTTATATTCAAGTACAGATTACATTTCAATTTAGATGCATTGCAGTTTATTTATTTTATCTCTTGTTAGTGTGAAAACTCATTTGGTTTAAATTGAGAGTTTTAATGACACTGTTGCAGGACTGTGGCCAAGGCACAAGGCAAAGAAAACATTCTGGTAAAATGTATTGTTATAAAATTGTCTTCCACTGACTGTAGTGACAGAAAGGGATATAAAGTTCATTAACACACACATAACACATAAACAACATTCTCAGCAAGCTGATATGTTGCCTGCTTTTTAACTTGTGTTGCATCCAAAGATGCATGTGGTAATGTGAATATGATATGTTTGACTACACAGAGTCTTGGGGGGGGGTCAGTGTCAGCTGAGTGGCCCTGCTGCAGGTGGGGAACCAGCGTCTTGCTAACATACCGTTTACCAGGTTAGGTGCTTACTGTAATCGGGGTTGGGGGGGGTCCCCCTCTCAATACACCAATTTGCTTTCTGACACTTCCGGGTTTTAATTCACACGAGTCAACTAAAAAACATAATCCTTGTGCATCCCAAATACTGGTAATTTAACAGTATATTTGTATACATTTGTATACATGGGGGTAAAAGTACACTCTCTGTGCAAACATATTTCTATAATATAAAACAACAAACACTGTCTACGTGGTTCCCGGTCACTGAGGTAGATGGCAAAACTGAATTAATTGACAATACTTTTCAGATATGATGGTAGATAATGATATTCATATCATTTGCAGCAATGTGCATTTGCTCACAGACTAAATTGATTATTAACCCACACACTAGGTACAGAATATAGCCTGTCCAAATGTCACCTGGTGCACAGTTTTACAATGCAGGTCAGTTACACACCCCTCTATCTTACAGAACAGTATTATTTACTGAAAAAGTAATCAAGAAGTGACAGCATCCTAAATATAGCACTCTTACAAAATAAAAAAAACAGCAGCATTATGGGTTCAGGCACTTACCTTAAAATATATATATATATATATATATATATATATATATATATGTGCTGAACAAGATTAGGCCTAACTGACAAAAAAAACACACAAAAAAACAGGAAAGTGTGCAGCAATACATTCACAGTATACATATGTCATAAGAACATTAAACAAAACGTGACCACATCATGCAATAAAGATGGCAAAAATGTGGCATATTTGCAGTAGAACGTTTTAGCTGTATATCTTCAAACACACACAATGTGTTTGGGAAAATGTAATGTTAACTTTATGATACGAAGAGCAAGTCTTGGTATAAGTAGTAGTGTAAAGTAAAACATTACGGCTGAGGCAAACAGGCAGGTTAAGTTGTAGTGAAACAAAGTACAGGAATCATTCACTAATTGTTTTTAAAAGTATTACCTTTTCAGAGTACAATCTCCAGGTCATATGCTGTTCTTTCCTTTTTCTCACGCTTAACGCTGTGCTCATCTGGAGGAATCAGAGGCAGCTCGCATTGTTCCTCCTTCACAATATCCTCCTTCTTAACAACTCTTGGTTTGTTTAAAATATATTCATAATTTCTTGTAACCTTGAGTAATGCTGAGGTAAGGTACTGTGGTGAGAACATCTTCAGTGAGGAGGGGAGTTCTGGATGTTGGGGGAGATGAGGCTGAATGAAGGTTGCAGGGTAGGTGGGCAGGGGTGACCTTAGCTGAGAAGAGGTGCCTGGATTCCTTGGGTACCCAGGTACTGGCCGGGGTGGACGTGGCACAGAGGAAGGTTTTATCAACACTGGTATAGGGATTTCTGATAAGATTCTAGTGTGCGAGGCAGGAGGTAGGGCTTTATGGGTCTTGGATAAAGGTCCAGGTTTTGGCAAAACAGTATGCGCAGTAGGTGTTGGTGTCATGGTGCTCTGCGCATCGTCATTCAGGTCTGCCGTCTGGCTTGCCTCAGGCTTCTCCGGCAGACTGTTTTCTGGCATCAAATTACTGCTTTCATTTTGTGGCTCAGTGATGGAGGAATCCTGCTCAGACTTAGTTAGAGACTCAGCTTGTGGCAGGAATAAAATGTGTTTATGACGTTGGCAGAAGAGTACACCACACTTGGGACACTTCCTGCCATCTTTGACATGCAGGAGTTTATGACGCTTGAGGTTATGACTAGTGGTGAACGATCGGTCACATATGTTGCACGGAAAGGAAGGCTCATGAACACGCTGGTGCTCAGTGAAATCTGCCTGACTGGTGAAGACCTGTCCACATATTTCACAGGTAAAGGACTTTTCTTCTTTATGCAGCGGTTTGTGTTTAAGCAGCTGTGAAACACTGGTGAAATTCTGATTGCACAGTTCACACCGATACCCACTTGCTGGTGCAAACACAGGTTTTAGGAGCAAAATGGGAATCCTTTTGTCTAGCTTTGGGAAGCCTGCTGGTGCTTTAAATGATGGTGACGCCTTGTTTGGGCTGGATATTGTTTGTGATTTGACTGTTTTGGTTTCAGTCTCAGCGTCTTTAACCAGTGTTTGTCCTTCCTAGGAAACGCACACAAACAAACTTTTATGCCTTCTAAACACAATCATCTGAGTAAAATATACTGATGTATGTTTTCTAAAAGCAAAAAATAAATGCAGAATTAACCAGTAGGAGCTGCTACCTTTGGCACTGATGAAGCTGATGGTGTCTGTGCTTCTTCCATCAAAACAGGGGACTGGAGGTCCATAGGAGAATCAGCCCTAGGTGGAGTAGTTTTTTCCGCTGTTTTCACATTTGCTGCACGCCGCCGCCTTTTTCTACGGCCATAAAACCTTTGAAAAAAATTGTGAAAATAAATTGATCTGAACACTCAATTAATGTGTCACATATATATCTGTTTGTCAAAGCGGACTAGGAGGGAATAAAGATGGTGAGCATTAACATCTTGCGATGGAGAGACATTAGTGCAGCAAGGCTGTAACAATGCACAAAGCGGGGCTACTGCACTGCATAATTATCCATGAACTATAAAGTGTACTGACCAAATTGTACAATGTCTGTTCAACTATGGCAGAGAAGCTTATATTGAAGTGTAGTGGCTAGGTGTAAATAATTTATGTAAATAACTGAGAATCATAGTATTTCTACTTTAGAACATGTTATCTCCCAGCATGTGCAAGACATCAAGTACCATGAAAACAGGGCTGCAATTTACAATTATCAATTGATCTGCCAATTGTTTCTCAATCTGATGTCAGAAATTGTAAAATATGAAATTTGTAAAATTTCCTATGGTGCCGTTTTAAAAGAGCTTGATTTGTTTGACTCAGCAGGCCAAAACCCCAAAATAATTAGTTTAAATGAAGAAATCATTTGACTTATCAAGCTGAAACCAGAGACTGCTGTTAACATTTTTGCTTGAAAAAATTACTGAAATGATGATCTAAATAGTTCTTAGTTATTGACTGTCAATTGACAACTGAATTGATCAACTATTTGTTTCATATCTACAAGAAAACCTTTTTGTCTTTAAGTCTAATGACCTCCCGACCAAAAGACAAGGAGCAAGACTTAAGTAATAACACATAAGGGAAGGAAGTACAATATAAAATGAAATTCTATATTCATGGCAGCCTAATGTAAGCTTTTCTTATGTTTTCCTACTGCTGCTTTGCCAGCCAGCACACAACATTACATTACTAGCCCCTGTTTGTGGATCTCAGGTCAGAGGCACAAACTGGAGCTAGCACACTAGTTACATAATACAATAACAATTTACAGTAACGTTATTTCTACACAGATGATATATCAACTCACAAACTTAAAAAGAGCTATCTAGCTAACAACATTAATTTACATTTCTTACCTTTTAAATTTTCTTTTGGCGTTCGCTCGCTGTTTAGTGCATGAAAACACAGAAGGCACAAAGTCAGGACTGTCGTGGTCCATGGAAGCTTCCCCTACAAAACATAAAAAGGTTCAGAGTTACGCCTCATTTCCCACCAAATCTATCTACATAAACGAATAACTCCGCTAGCTGTTATAGACTTAGTAAAATAAAAGCGTGGTTATCTTACCTGATATAAAATGAGCGCCACAAATACGAGCATTTCCTTTGAGTTCCTCGGTGCTGCCGTTCGCTTGTTGGATCGCTTGTAGCCATAAACGTCTCCGGTTGGCCTGAAACGGCCGATATCCAGACGGTATTCTGTAAAGTTTCAGTTTGCTGGTCGACGAATGTCGATTTTTACAGCCAGACACGCAACAAGCCGACATTTTGCTTGAAAACAGTTTAGATTCAGTGCTTAGCTTCGGTTAAGGAAGTTATCGGCAGCAGCAAAATTCTACTTCCGTTGCCAAGACGCGCGCGCATCCTTATGTAAAGACTCAGTACCGTTTGATTTAACGGTTAACGTTAAACAAGGGCTAAACAACAATGCATATCAGTATATCTATTGTATTTTACTTTTCAGGTAAAAACGTCGGCCCTGGCGGACTGTTGTTGTGTTTTTCAATAAGAATGTTGCTGTGTCTCTTTCTGTTTGGCAAAGTGACGACCACCACACAGTGCACCGAGGACCCCTGCTGGCCGGTGTTGTGCCGAAGTCTGCCTGCCTGCCGAGAACTGCATCCACTCGCGGCTGGTATGCTCGTTTATGCTGAGAAAAGAGGTGGATGCAAATCTCGGCAGATAGCCTACAACATCTGTTCTGTCGAATTATGCATCCACCTCTTAAGGTCCTTTTCAGACACTTTGCTGTGCTCATTGATCAAACGTGGCAATCAGCACACTTTAAGCTGAATCTCAATGAATGCTACTTTTATTAAGTGTAATAAAATATTAACGACCCTAAACGTTCAAAAACTTGGCATAACACCTGTGTTACACTGGCGTTACACCGTATTCTGTGATCCGTTAGATTCTGTGACCTGGATACTTGCAAACGTTTTATCACACTTAATCAAAGAAAAAAAGTACTAGGCCCTACACAGATACAGAGAGAGTCAACATTTATGATAGCTGTGATTCAGATGTGATTTAGATTCAGGATTCTGTCAGAAAGATTGTAGTATCCAATATTTGTGCATTTGACTCATAACAGTTCAAAATAGCACTATAGCAGCAGGACAGAGGGTCAGTGACCTTCTACGGACTGAACCCTTCTATAGAATTTGACCTCTAACCCCTTGTTTTGTTACCTCAGAATAGTACTGTACCCTTCTATGGGTTTGACCTTTTATTTTGCAGACTCAAACCCCTCTATGGTACCTAATAGATACCTAAACATATCCTATATAAGCTTTGCTTGATGTACAGAGAGACAGAGTGGCCATCGGGCTGGGTCACTCTCCAAGCTGCTGCAGAGCTTGTAATTGATGCTGAACTCCTTGATTTAATAAACTTTTATGATCAAGAACAGTGTCAAGCGGGTTTCTTCTCAACACATCATCGCAGCATTATTTGTCGGACACCACAAGATCTAAGTTAGTCCTTACACTATCAACATTTGTCACCCCATGTATTATAGGGACACAATTATTGGTATGACTGTATATCTTTCATTCTTTCTTTATTTCTTTATTTGAAAGGGGACAGTGTACATTAATCAACATTAAAACAATGTAAATGTACCCGAGTTAGCTAAAAAGTGCTAATTTTCATCGGTAGTAAAATAAAATCAAATAGTGGAGGAGGTGCTAAACCATGTCTGATTTTATAAATTAAACAGATGTTTTTGAATTTAATGAGATTGTCCCAGGTAAGTAACTGATATTTCCTCAGAATACTACAGTGGTGGTAATGGTATGGTTTTTTATCCAGTATTTTTAATGCTTGTTTGTATAATGTTTCTAATGGGTGGTGATGGCGCATAGATAAAATGCTTGCCTGGTGTGGGTGACCTGGGTTCGATTCCCACTGTGAGACATCTAACATTGTGTCCCTGAGCAAGACACGTAACCCCTAGTTGCGCGACCTCTGACATGTATAGCAATTGTAAGTCGCTTTGGATAAAAGTGTCAGCTAAATGTAATGGTTTCATTGTTGTAGAGTGAGTATTGGACCAGCTTATTAAACAATATGTTATGTGGGATAAAATCATGGAAAAGAAATATGATTTAGCAGCTTCAGTTGAAAGGAAATCTCTGATGAATCTGAAGTTTGCTAGACTGAACTTAATCCTATTACTAACTTTTTTGATGTGAGTTTTGAAATTGAAATCCTAAATATTTGTAATCTGTGACGACCTGTAATCTTTCTCCAGATATTAAAATTTCAGGTTTTATATTTATATTGTTTTTTGAAAAGAACATGGTAAATGTTTTGGATATGTTTAATTGCAGACAGGATTGCTCAAGCCAGGTTGAGATCAGTGACACGGCCTCTGTCAGTTTTGAGGCAACTTCCTCTGTGGATTTTCCATGGGCCAAGATAACTGTGTCATCTGCATACATCAAAGTGTCACAGTTCTTACACACAGATGGTAAATCGTTAATGTATAAACTGAAAAGAATTGGACCTATAATTGAACCCTGTGGAACACCAGTTGATAATAGTAAGGGGGCAGAATTATATTGGTCAATTCTTACACTTTGTGAACGAGATGAAATGTATGAATTAATGAGGCTAATGAATTTGGAGGAAAAATTAAATGCATGAAGTTTGTGCAGTAAAACTGAATGGTTAACTGTATCGAATGCTTTACGAAGGTCTAAAAAGATTGCTCCCACTATCCCTCCTTTGTCCATATTTGATTTAACCTTTTCCAAAAAATAACATGTTGCTGTCTCTGTAGAATGATTAGCCCTAAATCCAAACTGCATTGAGTGCAAAGGAAAATAACTGCAATTAAGATGATTGGTGATTTGTTTAGCAACCAGTTTTTCAAAAACTTTAGATACTGTTGGCAAAATGCTAATAGGTCAGTAATTAGATGTAAGAAGGGAGTTACCACCTTTAAATATGGGAATGACACTAGCAAGTTTCCATGGCTCAGGAAATTTCCCTTGATCTAGTGACAAATTAATGATATGTGTTAGTGGACCCATAATTGACTGACCTATTTGTTTTAGCATGAGTGTGTCCATCCCATACATGTCTTTTGCTCTTGAAGACTTATATAAAATAATCTACACCACTTTTGGTGGTGTTCCTCAAAATTATATGAAAATTGATTTTGCATCACCTACACACATTAATCTACACTTCACTAGGATGGATTGTAAGTGTGACAGAGGGTAATGATGACAGAAATTAAACAAATAAGCATGCTTTTATGTAACAATGTGCAGACTGAAATTGTTTTGTAGGACATCAGAAGGCACAGCATACTTTAAATGATACTTTTCATTCTCTCTGAAGTAGTTTATTGCAAAATTTTCAGTTAAAATAGAAAAGTGCAGTGTGTTTATGTGTGTGTGTGTGTGTGTGTGTGTGCGTGTGTGTGTGTGTGTGTATGTGTGCGTGTGCTCTTCAATTAGTACCAATCAATGTTTGTTTCATTTGTCCTCACTCAAGAAGTGGAGTGTCCTTGGTCTTCTCAGCAAATGTTTTCCTGACATAATTGTCAATAATCAGTGTAGCAAATCTGGTGCATCTTCACAAATACAGTCAAGGGCACTTTAAAATATGAGGCGTTTCACCATTTAAGGGTTTCCTCTGCAGAGCCACTACTAAAACACATTCCTAATACTCCCACAGCTGCAATGGCCCCTATGTTGTGACCAAGTAACAACCCGCAAAGTGATGGTAGTAATTAGGACAGAAGATTATTTTGTGTGAAGTACACTGTACTTAATATCGGTAATATTTTCCTCTGCTGTCTTGAGGGTATTTAGCTTTGGCTGGTGCTTCATCTCTGCCCAAATAGCTGCCAGTTATTCTTCTGTTTTCATACTCTCACTTGTAGTATTACACTTACTGTTCTGTCTTTATATTTAACAGCTTCATTCCAGTGGTCAATCAAAAACACAAAATATCTCAATTTAGTTTAAAACACAGTCAGACATGTACAGTTACTTTCTGAAGTAAAACCTTTTTTCATCAAGAATGCTCCCTTCTTAGTTATTGTTGGTACAATACTGGCTTTAGCCTGCTTTGAGTTTTCTCCTTCTTAGCCTTTCATGGTAACACTGTACAGTGAAGTACACATAATCCTAAATATTTATTAATTGATTACTAAGGAATAAACTAAAAATTAATTTGCAAACAGATAACAATTAGTTCCAGAATTGCTCACAATGGAGGATCAAAGTAATGCAGTGCAGTAATGGAAATAATATGCCATTAAGCAGCTGACTCAGAGTTAATCAGGACAGTCTCTTCAACAGTCTGTTAAGTAACTTATCAGGAATCCAGGAAGTAGATATTAGCTATCCGTTAAGTAGTTAGTACCTTATTTGTTCCTTATTCATTCTTTACTACTAGGGTTTTGTGAATGTTATTGTTATTATTAATTAGTTGTAATAGGCTTTTTTCATGAAAGACATTTTGATGTATCAAAGCAGGAAAAGCACACATGTAAATTATAAAATAAATGATGATTACTGGGACACTTGGATAGACCAGACCCATCACTGTTTAAATAATACATTAAATACCAGTGCTTTTCCTGCTATGACAAGTCAAAATGTCTGCTGTGAAAAAGAAACCGTGGTTGTTGGAGAAAGTTGTATTGTAACATCTCAGCTCATCAGTTGGAGTTTTGATTTGTTTGCATGGCATCTCCCCAAAAATACATGCTTTCTGACTTCCCCAGCTTGTCTGTGGCTCTCAGCCCTAAGCCCATTTGTTCAAACTAAAGACAGAAATCCCAAAAAACGGCCTAGTTTTATTTTTCAAAACAGCTGAGCACTTTAGTTGTCAGCAGATACTACTCAAGTGAGAGTAAATAGTGTGTTTGTTGGGGACTATTTTCATCTGTGGGTTTGACACTCTTGTAAATATTTATGACAGCAGGACGGTGTGTGTGGAACTGACTCAAAATAAACAGTAACTGTGTTAATGGTAATGAATGAACATGCTACCCACTGCTATATGGTGTGGCTCATTGATGTGTTTTTAATGGTTTTGGGAGGTGAAGATCTATGGCACAGATGAAAGATATAACAGATCAATCCATTGTTGGTTTTGGTCTTTTCATTGGATTTGTTGACATTAAGAAAAATACAGAAAATCAACATATTTATCCTTTGAGTATGTGTCAGTACTCCACCAATAGATGTCACTGTTGTTTAATAAGGGGAAAGGGTTTCCTCTGGTTTTAGGATTGCAAAAATAACATCTGACAAACCTAACACCTGATTTTAAAAAGAACCATTTAAAACAAACTGGAAGTTCATGTCAAAATGTACATTATCTGACTTTATAAAAACAATCAATCTTCCACATTTGAGTCCTTCTAAAATATC